TGTTTTAAAGTGCTCCCGGACTCCTGTTATAAAGTGCTGCTGTTTTAAAGTGCTGCCGGACTCCTGTTATAAAGTGCTGCTGTTTTAAGGTGCTGCTGGACTGTTGTTTTAAAGTGCTGCTGTTTTAAAGTGCTGCTGGACTTCTGTTTTATTTTCCATCCTTTTTTAAAAAAAGGTATGTTGCCACATCATCAGGATGCAGGGCTGGCAACCCCCAAGTGACACTTGGCGATCTCCCACTATTATAATTGATGTCCAAATATCCAAGATCAATTCTCCTGGAGAAAATGGCTGCTTATACCCTGCTGAGGGCCCTCCCCTCCCCAAACATCGCCTCCCCAGGCTCCACCCCCAAAATAGCCAAGTATTTCTCACCTTACAGCTGGCAACGCTATCAGGAGGACTAGTAAAGAAGTTCAGTCATTTGTTCATCTTCCCTTCACATTTAGATTAACAATATCTTTTTTAATTGCCTCACTGAAAACCAATCAAAACCTTGGTTTGGCAAAACTATTCCCTCTCCCCAATGTATATTTAGGAATAGGAGTGTGTGTGAGTGTTGTGTGCGCGTGTGTGTGTGTGCGGCGCATGCAACAGTAAATCAATGCCTGCTCTTATCACAATGACAAACAAGTACACTGTTTTTAATTACGTGGATCATTAGCATCAAATGGCTGCCTGTTTACCTTTCTCCGGGAAGGACAAAGGGACTGATCAGCGCCATCTCCTTTGGGCCCATGCTGTAGGTGAGGTCACTTCAAAGGGAACCTGAAAGGTGATACCTCTGTGGATCATTCCCACCTGGGCGGCCTGGCACATCATTCCTAAACACATGATCAGATTCTCCACCTCAGCTGGCTTTTCATAAAGGCCTGATTCTTGGCTGTGAAGCTGCTGGTGTATGGAGCTGTCCTCAGAGGCAATGCTTACCTGGCCAACGGAGGTTTGATAGATGACCACGTGGGATAGGGCCTTTAGAACTAGGGAACGGTGGGTCTGGTACTCCGTCAGGATGTCTGCTTTGACCCATGACCGACGGTGTTTAGTGCCAGGTTAAGGCAATGGTTTTTAGAAAAGTTACAGGAAGCCGTGTGTGTGTATCTATCTGTCTCTATTGACAGACAGATGGATAGGCAAGCTTGATTTTGGAAGCTAAGCAAGGTTGGACCTGGTTAGTCCTTGGATGGAAGACCAGCACGGAAGTCCAGGGTTGCTACACAGAGGCAGGCAACGGCCAATCACCTCTGTGTTCGTACCAACTGTGTGAGCCGCCCTGAGCCTGTTCGCGGGGAGGGTGGGGGTACAAATGGACTAAAATAAATAAGTAAGTAAGTAAGTAAGTAACATCTCTTTGCTGGGAAGCCCTATGGGGTCACCGGAAGTCAGCTGCAGCTGGATGGAACTTTACACACAGACACACCCACATGGCTATTTTTGGGCAGGAACGCACAGGAACGGAGTTCCGGCTGGCTCCCGAGTTTGGCCACGACCAGCAGGATCTCATTAGCATAATAGGCCACACCCAACAGCAGAAACTCCTTAGGACTGGCTACATTAGGGGTGTGTAGCCTAACATGCAAAGGGTTCCTGCTACAAAAAAAGCCCTGGGTTTTGACAACAAACAAAGTAAATAGAATAAGAAGCAAAAGGTGGGTGTGGCTGGATGACCACACTTCTGGTAACATGGGGGTGTGGCCTAATATGCTAATAAGCTGCTATCTCAGGGTGTGGCCTAATATGCTAATGAGTTTCTGCTGTTGGGTGTGGCCTATTTTGCTAATGAGTTCCTGCTGGGCTTTTTCTACAAAAAAAGCCCTGCACACCCATATTGCTGATCTGCTGATTGTACTTTTATTTGTACTTTTGTGCTGTTGATGATTTTTTTTGGGGGGGGGAGATTTGAATTTGGATGATTTGTTTTTTAATTTGGTTTCTCGTTAGCGGTCTTTGCAAAAGGGAAAGGTGGGAGAGGAATATCTTGAAGAAAGAAGTCCTCGTGAGGGGCCAGTTCAGACGCTTCCGATGTCTGGGGTCTGCCTGGAGGGGGGGCCTTCTGTGTTCCAGGCCAGCCCGGTTCCAGATGCCCCGTCCCCTGAGCAGTTAGCAGAAGCCCTTGTTGTGATGCGCATAGCTCTGGTTCAGCACCTTCGAGAAGCTGGTTGGCTGTGTGCAAAAGCACAAGTGGTGCTCACACCAACAGCTCACTAGACCAGTTCACCGCAAGCAAGAGCCAGGGTGGTGCGGTGGTTGGAGCATCAGACTACAGTCTGGGAGACCCAGGTTTGAATCCTCACTCTGCCATGGAAGCTTGCGGGGTGACCCTGGGCCCAGGCCCGTAGCCCATAGAGGTCACCTACTCCACCCCCCCCCTTTTAAAAGCACAGCCCCACAGGAATTTCTTCTGTAAATGCTTTTTTCAATCATTTTTAAACATTTCTTTAAGGCGTGCACTCCTTTAAGCAGAATGGGGTGCTGTAGTTGACTGATTCCCACACTGAACAAAGGGGTTGGAGTAGGTGACCTCTAGGATCCCTTCTAACTCCGTGTCAAGCAACTGGTCTATAAGAGTGTTTCTGCCTAAATGTTAGCTTTCTTGACTACAGAAATCATCACACACACCCCAGCTGCGGGCTTGTTATTACAATTGTTGCTTAGGCTGGCAGAAGCGATTAACTTGCAGCAGCTGAGAAGTGTCAAGTGGTCGACAGCTTGCAATTTAGAGATCTATCCTGGCAACAGCATTCTATTGGCTTAAATGGCTTTTCCTTCTGCACCGAGAACTTCAGCCCCACCAGGAAAAAAAAAGATTTGCCCCACAAGCCACAGAATCCTGGTTACGGACCTGCTTGGTCCGGTCTCACACTCAGCCAAACCCAGGGTCCCCAACATGGTGCCTGTGGGCACCAAAGTGCCTGCTGACACCTTTTCTGATATCCGCCAAGTGTTTCTAGGGAGTGGGCGGGACCAGACAGGGCTTTTGCCCAGCAAGGCATCCGACTGACTACTGGAAATTTGATTGGCTGTGCAGATTTTTAAAAAGACAGCACAAAGATCTACCCTGTGTCATTCATTCATTCATTCATTCATTCATTCATTCATTCATTCATTTGACTTATACCCCGCTCTCCCTGCCAAGGCAGGCTCAGAGCGGCTGAAGTCGAGCTGTGCCCATCATTTCGTAGCTGGCTCCGCCCCCTCTGGCAGCCATTTTGTCGCTGCGTCCGCCATGCCGTGTCAGAATTCCAAATGTGACCGCACTCAGGCTCAAAAGGGTTGGGGACCAATGTTCCCTCTAAGCTGAGTGAGTGTGAGCTGGCTCACAGTTTTTTAGCCTCCGGCTCCCACATTTTTGTCTTAGCTCGGGAAGGACGGCTCCAGGGCAACTTAATTTATGCAGCAGCTTTAATGCCAGTAGCTCACAAAGTAGAGTTGTTGCTCACCAGACTCCACAGCTTAGAGGGAGCATTGTTGGGGGTAGCCATGGCCTCACCTGTCTCACAGGGTGGTTGTCATGAGGATAAAATGGAAGAGGAGGAAGCAAGAGTTGTAATCCCCTTTGGGTCCCCATGGGGGGAGAAAAATGGGGTATAAATAGATCAGATCAATAAATCCGTACCGTTTGAGCCTTGATTGGGACTGAGCGGTGTTGGAACAGTGCATAAAAAGGGTATGAATGAATTGGCTCCAGCCAGATCTTCCGGCCACCTCTGGCTCGGTTGTAGGCATCGCGTTCCAACTCGTAGTGTCTCATCTGGTGCAGGTTGTACCCATGCCAAGCACTGCGCTCCTCAGCTCTGGAAATGGTGCTGCAGGGGTCCAAAATGCAGCTCTGAGAGTGGCATGCTCCAAGTCAATGTTGACTGTACCCACATGCGTCCCTCCACACTCACGCACAGAGCACTTACCACACCCGAGGTTCTTATCAGAATCAGCCTCGAGTGCCACTGAGCCTGGTGGACAAGGTTGCCAGCCTCCAGGTGGGGCCTGGAGATCTCCCGCTTTTACAGCCAATCTCCAGCTGACAGAGACCAGCTCCCCTGGAGAAAATGGCCGCTTTGAAGGGTGGACGCATGCTGAGGTCCCTCCCCTCCCCAAACACCGCCCTCTCCCGGATCCACCCCCAAAGTCTCCAGGTATTTCCAACCCAATCTGGCAACTCTACTCCTGCCTGCCTCTGTTGACCCCCCCCTTTGAGCAGCACCAGGGTCTCCTTGGGCGTCTGAGGCCCCCAATTGCGGGCACCAGTCTTTTTGCCGTGCTGAAATCCTCACCTGCTTTGGCCTCCTCCCAGAGCCGGTAAGTTTGTTTATCACACACTGCTGGCAAGTGTTGAAACCAAAACCCGTTCGCGGGGTGTCACAGCAAAACAGCACGTCTCCTTCTAGGCGGCCAAGCAGGAGTTGTGTCTCTCTCTTTGTGTGGGTGGTGTTTTGGAGCTCCGGATCCCCCCCCCCCATTTTGGAGACAGCCGTTAGGTACTGGAGCTAAGGTTGTTCCAACCCCCACCCCCTTCCAGGAAGCTCCATTCCCTCGACCTGCGCGTGTGTCTCTTTCGCACACCTCTGCATACACGCATCTGCCACGGCCTCCACTCCTGCGGGTGTGTGTGTGAGTGTGACAGAGTCAGAATCGTCCCAGGCGAGGGGATGCCCGGTAGCTGCTGCGGGCGAGCGAGGGGAAGCGGCCAGCCGGCGTTGGCGGGAGACTTGTTGCTTTGGCCAAGGGCGAGGCGCGGGCTGCCGGCCCGGGGAGGGTGTGGGCAGGCCGGACCCCGCTTGGATCGGGCCGGGAAGGCTGCGTGCCGCGGGGGGTGGGGGGGCAGGCCAGTTGGGCGCGGGGCGCGGGGCTGCCTTCGTCTTCTTCCTCCCTCCTCCCTCTCCGGGTGCGTGTTGTGGAAATGAGAAACATGGAAGGGGCGGGCCCTGGGCGAGCGTGTAATCGGATAGCTCTGCCTTTCTGTCTGACATCCACATGCTGCGCTGCCTGAAAAGGCGGCGAGGAAGCCGAGAGGCAGGCAAAGGCAGCGGAGAAGGAGCCGGCACCGCACCGACACCCGTAGCAGCAGCAGCGCACAGAGGAAGGCAGGCAGGCAGGCAAGGAAGGCAGGAAGGAAGGCAGGAAGGAAGGCAAGAGCGAGGCTTGGAGCAAAAACTCCCCCCGCCGCGGCGAGCGACCAAACAGCAGCAGCCGCCCCTGAGCGAGAAGCGGCGACGCTGCCCGGGGAAAACGCCTCTCGAGCCGTGCGCCACTGCCCAGCGGCGGCTCGGAGCGCCCGGGGCCAGCGCGCCGCCTGCGCTCGCCCTTCGGCCGCTGGCGGAGGCTGGCGATGCTCGGGTGCCGGTGATGCTGCCGCCGCCGCCTTGAAGGAGAAGCTCCGGAGCGCCTCCTCTCCCTGGCGGGTGCCCTGCGCCTGGCTCCGGCCGGCGGGGCGTCCCTCGCGCGTCTCCGGGAGAAGAGTGGCCGGACGGAGTTCCCCTCCTCCGAGGGCCCTTCCAAGCGCCGCCGCCGCCACCGAGGAAGCAGGCAGCGGCAGGCGCGCGTTTCTCCGGGCGGCACATCGGCAAGGGGTTGAGGCACGCCTGGCAGGGAAGCCCCCTCGGAGGCAGTGCCGCTCGGCCGGGATCGCCCCGCCATGGATACGTGCGCTCTCCTTTGGGGATTGTTATTTCTGCTCCTGGCCGGATCCGGAGCCCTGGCGCAAGCAGGTAAGGCGCATCCTCGCTGCACGGCCGCCTCCAGGATCGGGGCTTGCAGGACTGGGGCTTGGCCGGGGGGGGGGGGCACCAGGGCGGCGCGGCGCGGTTCTCCGGCGGACCTCCTGACGCTTCCTCCGGGCTCCGAGCACAAGTTTGGCGTTGGCCGCTGGGTGGACAGGGCGTTTGGCAGGAGACAGGAGGACGGTGTGTTTTGGGGACAGCGCTGGTGTTCCGATGCCACATCTGGAAGAAATCAAAGGTTTAAAAATACTACCAAAGTCCGCGGGCCTTCCGATGCTTGTTGTGTGTGTGTGTGTGTCCTCGCGCGCGGGGAACACAGCATCGAGACAGGCGAAATTGGGGGCAGCGGAGACAGAGCCCATTTCACAGATTGGACTGCCGCGGTTTCCAAAATAAAAGGGGGGGGTTACCCACGTGCTCCCCGAAGTGGAAAAGCTGTTTCTGTGGCTGACTTGGAAGGGGGGTCGTGTGAACATCATTTCTGCCAGGCAAAAGGCCGTCTTTGGTAATGCCTTTTTGGCCTCCTGCACGATCGGGAGGTAGGGGGTGGGGGGGAAGCTTTAGATACATAGACAGACAGACAGACAGGCACCATCACAGATCCTGGGCAGCCATATGAAGTGCCTGGGAAACTTTTCCTTGCTGAACTTGGTGGCCCCAAGGTTGGGGGGGGGGGGAAGCCAGGACGCTTAGGCTGAGAGGTCGGAGCCATTGCAATCCAAGCCCCCAACCCATCGAGAAATATTCGCGAAAGAGAAAGCCGTCTACCCCACCCCCTTCTCCTCCAACTCTTCGCCGTGCCTCCTCGTTCCCGACGGAGACCGGAGCTAATCCCCGTTTACTGGCGAAGAGGGCGCGCTAAACCCGTCCGCCGTTAATTACTCCGGCGGAGATCTGACACTCATTTCCTCCGAATTAGCCGGCAGTGGGAACGCAGATAAGGCAGATCAGAGGCCGCAAACCAACAGGGCTGGGGAGGGCGGAGGGAGGAGAAGCGCTGCAAAACAACAGCTGGAGGAGGGGGGGAGATGTATCCCCCCCACACACCGTTCCTGCAGCTCAAGGCGGGTAGCGGCTGCGTCTGGCAGCGGGAGTCTAACGGCGCCACGCTCCGCAGACTGACTTCGCTCTGCGCCCACCGAAATCCATGCGTTCGAGCGGGGGAACCTCGGCACGTTTCCTTCTGTATGCTTCGCCCCACTGAATTCCAACGGGGCTGGCTCTCTAGGGCTCAAGAACTGAGCATGGCTCTCCGGGGCCTTCTCTACTCGGGAGTAAGCCGAATAGAAGGGGCCTTTCCCGCGCACCTCAGGGCCGCCACTGCAGGTGGAGTCGTCCGCGCCATCAGTCTGGCCGGGCCGCCTCGTGGTTTCCTCCAGGCGAAGAAGGACCCATTTTGCTGCTGCGAGTAGCGAGGCTGCCTTTGAGTCTCAGAGCTGAGGGTTCGTTCCCAGCAGGGCTTAGCTGAGACACTCTGGGTATGTGCAGAGGGCCTCTTCCCCCGGGGGACTCTGAGCGAGCAGGACTGCCGACCTCCAGGTGGGGCCTGGAGAGCTCCCGGATTTACAACTAACCTCCGGAGGAGAGAGATCAGCTCCCCTGGAGGACACGGCTGCTTTGGAGGGTGGACTCTGTGGCATTATACCCCGCTGAGGCCGCTCCCCTCCCTCCTTATCTCCAGGAATTGCCCCGCTGGGAGCTGGCAACCTTGCTTGGAGACACTTAGCTGGGGCAGGCGGCGACTTTCCTCGGAGAAATGGCGGGGAGGGCGTGCTTGGCCCGCGCAGGCCGAGACTGGAAACCAGGCGGGGGGGGGT